GTCGATTGTTGTCTACATTATACACTAAACCGTTTTATAGCCGGTTGACGACGATGCACGGTGTTTTTATGGTGTGTACAGAAATAAACGAAAGTGTAAAGATCACAAAGATTTACAACGAACGTATACAACAACGGTCCAAAAGATACCGAGTATAATTGTACAGGGTACACGCACACTGTCGGTTCAGGAAAAAAATCTATATACCTACCGCAATTAGATATTTTTTTCTCAAGTCAGTAATCGGTATGCGAGTAACGACCGTCGATTCTAATAATATGACATATACTTTTCCAATACGTCATAAGGACGCTTAAATACCGACGACTCAATTATTTATCGAAAAAAAAAAATGAGAAGCCTCGCCGACATCGACAGAACATTTTTTACCGCGAAACCTACCGACGACTTGGACAACAAACGAGACATTCTCGTGTCGGATTTACCGGTACGACCGCGCGCATATTATTCGAAAAATCTTCGGTCGACCGCGGTGGTCAAAGAGTTTGGACGTGGAACACACAGAATAAGCCGTCACGGACACCGGTGCGGCGTGTAGAGAGGTAGGTATACACCGTGCATGTATATACATATTTTTTTTTACCATACATATAATATATAGACTGCAGTAGGTACGCACGGCGGCGACAAGAATATAATACAAACTAGCAGTCGCACAAAAGAGTGTCATGTCACGAGATTATGGTAATGTGTTGAAAACCCATCGGGCGGCGGCGACGACACGGTCTCGCGTTATTATAATATATATTATTATTATATTTAGTGTGGCCGAACGTGTTCGTTTATTGCAGTCGGACGCGCGTATGTAACATATAATAATATCCTCTGCCTATATAATATGGGCAAGTTATGAGGAAACGCGTAAGTATTCGGTGATTAATTAGCGGCGGTCCGGTCGCGCCCCATACATCACGAGGGTAGAGGGTGTCGAATGTGAGTATGTGTAAGCGGTGTGAATGATGCCTTAATTAGTCGGTCAGGTCGGGTTTTCTGAGGCGGTCAAACATGGCCGCCGCAGTCTTCCATAATAATAATAATAATGCGTACATTATTTATAAAATTGTGATGATGCCCCGTCGTTATTACCGGCGCAGCTCTTGCGAGGAGGTGGTTTAACTCGAGACCGATCGTGTACACAACCGTCGTTATAATATTTGTACAACAAAATGGTATAGGTACCGGCGGAGGAGATCTCATTATAATAATAATGATAAAAATCCGGTGGAGACTTCAACGCGCCGCGTCTCGATATCCAACCTCGGTCATCGCCTTTCAAAACAAAAACATAATAACATAACACGAAACGACCACGACCATGATCGATATTACATTATTATTGTTAATATTATTATTATTATCATCGAATATCGTAAAAAAAAAATACTAATAATAACCCCGTTAAAAAATGATTTTGGGTTCACACCGCGAGTACGTTACTATACGGGGTAAAAGTATAAATAATGTATACATATATAAATGGAATATTATAATACTGTGAGAACGCCAGAACGTGTACGGTAAAACTCCATTGGCCTTGCTCGCCATCAGACGCTCATGTGTATGTGTGTGTTAGCCACCATGTCTTCAGATACACGTGAATATGATGTTTGTGTATATATATATTGTACACGATTTACCTGCGGGTCATAACGCGAGAGGAACATTTTGTAATACCTATGCGCCGGACAACGAGCACAAAGAAAATACACACACATATGAGAACCCCGTGTATGAATGTGTGTAGTTTGATTTGTTCGAATGGTATATGCAGTGGTATTGAGATACGAAAAATATCGCTATAATTCCCAAAACATTTACAATAATATAAAATGTATATATATATTGAAGATAGGGTCCTCCACTTGACGACGACGACGATACTAACAAAAACTGCAACGTTTACGATTGGCCGTCGGGATAATATAATGCAAACATAAGCGGGGTTATATTTTTGTTATCCGAACGAACCCTAAGGGCCATCGATGTACAGTATTACCTATTCGTGTTTACTGTTATTTGTAAAAAGAATAGTACTATACGTGCCTTAACTGCGTACCAATTGCATTCAAGAGGTCTATATGAGTATTGCTATAACTACGGACAGGAAAAAATAATACCTATACATCTGAAAAAACCAAACCGAGAGAATGTGGGTTTCTTTTTAATAAATCGTTTAACAAAAAATAGAAACAACTTATTAGGTAAAAAAAAACATACATACAAACGTAACAAAGTCATTATTTTATATACATTTGCATACAATCGAGTCGGGTCGTATAGCCGCCCCATAAAAAGTGAAATGATCGTTTATACTGTGGCAGCTGCGAAGGACACCGCCACAGTCTAGTTACGTCACAGACATGTCAGCAAAAACAAATCCAATATACAAGTTATAGTGAAAAAAAAAATGCCGATACGGTTGTCATAATAATATAGAGTTTGGCTGCGCGAAGTCCGGTTAACGATTAGGTGTGTCTGACGTTGTAGTAAAAGGGTCCTGAAAAACTTTTAGTCGAAACGTTTTTCCCCTTATAAAAATATTTTTTTGACAGGTTTATTGTGTACAAACGATTGCGGACATCACGGCACACCCTAAGTCACAATTCGTGTACAATATATATGTATATATAAACTATGTAATATAGTAGGCCGCGAGAGACGTTAAAAGCTTTGGTTCCGGTAAAAGTGTATGCATATATACATAGGTAAATAAACGTCATACGTCAATCATTTTGTCCGTAATTGACATATCAATTACTTCCGTGTCGTCGCGCACAATAGACGAGTATAATGGTTTTTTTTTTTTCTTAGACATCCCGCGCCATGTTTGTTAACAATAATGTGTGATTTTCATAATAAATAATGCGCGCGTGATTAATAAGAACGCCATTTTTATAATACACATAAGCTTCTTTCTCTCTATACTGAAATGGCCCCCATCAGGGCCTCGGCCCCCATGGGCGGGGTCCTTGGAACGGCCTATGTCGTTAATGGGTGGACTGAAGAGGTGAGAACCAGGACCTTGAGGGTTCAAAGTGCGTTTGTTTGATTTGTATATGCGCAACGATAATAATCATCAAGAGTCGGCAACGCTTTGAACAAAAGCCTGCGGGCCATTTTCCCAAGACAAGCCGGCCCGCGTTAAACTTTGAGATCTGATCACTATTTAAATGTACAGGAAATTATTGTTCTGTACACTGAAAATCAAACCAAGATCAACCTGACGGCTGTGCGAAAAATTAACTGACAAAAAAACCGCAAACTGGACTCGAAAGCGGACCTCACATAAAGAGTTACTTGTTTTTTTTGTCACCTCTCAAACCCAAATAGAAACCTTCGAGTAGTATTTGTTGTAGAAATACTACCTAATTCACTGGAGACACTGATCACCCGGAGCGAGAAAGCACCTCAAAATACAATAAATTCGGGTACACTTTTTAGTTTTTAAGTACTGTACCGATATTAAAACTCCGATCCTGTGCGACGTTGTAACCGTATATACACGAAGACATTATACGTTATAAATGGTTTCCTTAGGATCAAATGACAACCGTGGACCGATGCGATCTGCGACCTCCCGACAGATTAATCCTGAAGACGGGACCCGTACGAATTATTGTCCGACTACCTGCACCCAAACGCAGACGAAAGCAATTTGTTTTAGATGCCCATGTACGCCTATATTGTATGTATATAATAATTATTATTGTACACGACCAGTTTAGGTAACCAGAAGCGGCGACGGCGCTCTCCTCGAATGGCGCTGTGTTGGGCATTCGCACGTTGCACGAGAAGACAATACAAAAAAGTAATGATGAGTTAATTTTGTATTATTGTTCGCAGCTGTCACTGTGGACCGGCTGAGACTTCATTATACCGGGCCAGTGCGCTATTAAGGACTTATGTATCGGAAAACGCGGCACCACGCCCCTATTATAAAAAGCACGTCACTTCTAACCTACTGGCGCGCGTCCAGATGTCTTAATGGAAATTTATCTTCGAAAATGCTCGCTTATATTAACATACCGAACGAGAGGTCCTACAAATGAACGTTTAAGAAAGAACACCCGTCCCATGTAGTTTAAATTAATTTTAGGAAAGAGCCCCGATTCGCCATGTACTATTGTAATCATGTCTTTGAAAAACCGCACGGCCGTGCGGACAGCTAATTGTATATTCATCATGAATATATATATATATATATATATTACATAGTGTTGTGTCTACAAAGGATTTCTATATCTACTAGTTTGCGGTCGTGAAACCAACATGTTTGCGTAGCTTTCGCTGTCATCACGACAACCTAACGAAAAAAATGTCATAAGCAAATAATAATAGAATGCGGACATTACAATCAAGACTTGTCAAAATACGGTATCCACGTCAAGCTCAGTACATCACTACTTCACTTTACATCAGAAAAAAAATCCTTGATGTTACTAAAAATACTGGAAATGCTATTATTAAACAGATAAACTTATAGATACGTATAACAGTCAAATTAACTGAAGTTACAATGTTTGAACAAAAATAATATGTCTTGCTGAAAAGTCTCAATAAATTGCTAATCAGTTATTTCGCAAAAAACTAATTAAAAAAAACGTATTGAAATATATTTTACATACTCTTTAAAAAATAACATAATATAGTTTGATTTGCTTCATGGTCGTTATAAAATCGTCTTAAAAGAAAAAAGTTCAAAGGAGATAATATTATATTAAGTGCATGTGTGTGTAATTACTCACTTTCCTAGATTTTATTTACACGATAATTATATTTTAATAGTATTATCTTTAAGTAGGCATTTTTTAATTATTAGGCTAATAAAAATGATCATTTCTGGCGAAGGATTATTTTAGGATGAACGCCCTTGTCATAACCTCGTATCATATTACAGTATAATATGTCCAGTCGTGCGTATTATTTTTGGTTATTTAACATAAACGCCGGAAAAACAAAATTGGAAAAAACCCACTTACCTCCGTTACATAATTTTCATCAATCAAAACATTTGTTGGCAGAAGCATCAGACGATTTCGATTCCAGAGCCTGTAACGAGACAAAACAAAATTAATATAATAATATACATATACGTAAAAAAAAAGAATCGAATCAATAATGTCGTTAATCAGGCTTTACCCGAGGAACCAAATCCCGTTCAAGGTGACATGTGGCTTTGTAATCATTCAATATTAATATTATTTATACAAATACAACTAAATTTTGTTGTTTAAATTATGTTGTTATAAGCCCTTCTTCGGGATTAAACGCCAGACTGTAAAAATAAAGCAAGACCCCGTCGACGAAGGTCGTACTTAATAATAACGGTGATACAATACATTATTAAGACACACACGAAGGTGTATATTATTATTATTATTGTTATTATTATTATTATTAATAGACAACAATAATAAAGTGGTACCCCGTGGACGAGAAAATGAGATAATTTCTCTCCGTCTACGCTGCGATCTCAATAACAGCGACACAATTTATGTATTTAATTATTAAGTTTGCGTGCTACCGACTGATTTCTACCGCCAATATACGCCACACGCACCGCCCTAAGTCGCTTGATCCCGACCGATTACCATCACACTCGGCTTTGAAAAGGGGCGCGTGACAACACTATTGTAATCAACAGTATGCCTATGTATTTTTAGATAGTTTCGGCAACTTTCGCAACAGTCACGTCCACGGTCACCGTCTAGATTAACGCGTTTCCGCGACACGTTCTTCGAAAACCCCTAAGAACACATGCGGGGTCATAATTTATGATAAGGCTACCGGGTACGGTCGGCCCCCGCAACGAATTCGGCTCCGAAGCTGTGGGACGCGTCTGGCTATGCGGTTTAGACCGTTCGAAATGATGTATGAAAATACAACTACAGAGGCGCCTGTCTTGGAGCCGACGAAAACCAAAATAATGTCTTAAGGTGGAGAGAGAGAGAATGCAAACTAGGCGTGTGGCCAAGTGCGCCCACAAGGAAGGAAGACAACTCCCCCCTAGCTTCTCTGCAAGTTAAAAAAATTGTATCAATATCCCAGCAAATTCGAAAAATGTATTACAAAATCATAGCCGGTCCCCCCTTTGAATTTTCACTTACAGGCACCATTGGGTGTTGTGGTTTTATATACGAGCAACCGTGGCGATGACTTGATGAAGTCTTAAAAATACCTACACGACCAGACTGGATGTATAAACAATGAAGATACAATACCGAAATGGAAATTAAAAAAAAAAAAACAGAAAACCAGAAGACACCAGTTTTGACAATACTGGCGGCGCCGCACCCGTAAGGCTGTGTTTCGAGAATTATGTAGTTTTCTTAGTCTTTTACGCGGCTAATTGAGCTATATATCCTTAGATATCGGGTTATCTATACCACGGCCGGCTTATTAATATTGTAATAATAACGTTTTAATGGTAGTGAAAATCCAATAAAGTAAGTACACGGCGGTATCGGTACGATAATAATATTATCGCGTTGAAATCTTTCAGCGGTATTAGGTTGTTATAATTAACGGTCATCTCTTTTGCCCGTGTGTCCGGCATAACATTATCATGTATTCAAATAAACATACGTCTATGTCTTTAAAATATAATATATAATTTGGTATTCGAATATCATTTATCCGCCGACGACCTAACCGTTGAAATTTCTACACGCAACCAGATTGTACAAGACCGAGTGTGTCTTCTTATCTGCAACGAAAACGATAAATAATTCTTTCGGTAAATTAATCTTGGTGCGCCGTTGTTGGCGCGATCGGAATTCACTTCTCTCGTTGGTTCGAGATTAATGTGTAAGTACATATCGTTATACCAATGCATAACGGGTTTTGTGGACCGACGACAGTTTTCCTACTTGTTGTTTTCCCTTGAAATTAGTAGAAGCATTTTTAACAAGTACGAGCGTACCCATATAGATAAATAATAATAGATATGTGCGCCTTGTGGATATCGTTAGAATAAAAAACCGGGTGCGCTGCTGCGGTGGCGAGCCGGCAACAGGAATTTTCATACTGGCCTTCCTTGGAAGAATCTAAAGAAGATGGTATCGCGCCATTGACGTCGGGGTGCGTTTTACAATAATAATAATAATATAGTCAGTCAGGCGGGTTGAATAAGCCGCAATAATAATAATATAACAAAAACAACACACACCGAGAAAGGATAGTGTATAGATTTAATCGCCTCCCGCTCTTTTCTTTCTGCGAGCAAACATATACAAAACCATACAATATATATATATATATATATGGAGACCTACACAATTGTCCTTTGTGACGTTCGTATATGTGTGTAAATAAATATTAACGCCAAGCCAACGTGTGTTTGTGTGAGTCTATCGCGCCAGCCGACGACTCCTAAATCAAGCCGGGGTGTCATCGCGCCAGTTATTTTACTCCTTTTATTTTTATTTTTTTATTTTATACTCTTCCATTTCTTCACAGAAGACACAGAAGCCTCTCTCGCGCTATACAAACGGTTTTTTTTCAATGCGCCAATGATTTGCTTATATATACTTTGCTCGTTTGTTTTTGTTTTTTACCTCTCCTTCTACCGCGCCATATCATAACACACAGGCACACACACACTTGGGCGAAAACCGAGCTAATTTATAGCCGTTACAATAATAATATGGCGGAAAGATTGTCACCACATCGACGACGGGCTATATATAATTCGTTCCATTCGCTTGGCCACTATAGTGTATACCTACTACTACTACCATATAAATTATAATATATTACATATATATATATTCACATTGTTATGTGGTCTATAGATAAAAGCCGGTCGCTCTTATTTAAATTGGTTGCGCCTATATACGGTACACACACAAACACACATATATTACCTATGCTCGCGTTTTAACACCTCGGAGTGCCGTCTCGCAGTATAATACTACAGGATAAGTATTACAAACTGTGTAACTACCCTGGTCGCACCGCAGTAGCTCCATACAATAGAAAACCTAGATGAATATAGTGCATTCGCCATAAATCCCGTTAGGATCTAGGTTAAGGTTTATTTATGAAAAATATCGTATGTCCTACATCCACTTAATATGAAAAATCCAATCTATACATGTATTGTAATAGCTGAGAATAGTAATCGCCCGGCTTTTGCCCCCCACCAATTAAAAAATGTCCAACACCATCTATGAGTGTATTCTAGGTGTAGAAAGTGGTTAAGTGTTAATGGTGGATTTTCACTCTTTTTAAAATTTGATTTTTTCAAATGTATTTTTAAGTTTTATTTAACGGCAGTTAATTATAGAAAAATATATAACCGATAGTTATTGGGTATAATATGTAGAATTCGTTTCGCCCCGGGGGCGTTTTCGAAACGGTGTTAACTTTAACGCCATACGATAATTTATGCACGTATACAAGACCAACGGCATATATTAATATACTAATAATAATCTCATTATACGACAGGGAGTACAGTACATACACTGTAATAATACTGGAATACACTAATCTGGAGATAGTTGCCGTGTACGGCTTGGTTACACGAAACTTAAAAAAAAAGGTATTATTATTACTGCCTACTGTAAGTCGACCGGTTTTTATTTTTATTTTACAACAGATTATACACATACACAGTCACGAGAAAAACTTAAAAATATATAATATAGGTATCAAAATATCAACGTCTCAACTCTCGCAGTTCGACTACACGCGACTATAATAATATAACCCTAGTCCTTTTGCTGCTGCTTGTTGGCCATTCCCAAATTATGATGACTTGACATTTGTGTGTGTGTATTTTAAGGGACTAACTTGAGGAGTTGGCCGAGGTTACAACGCGTAAATTAGCCACTCGATCGACGTGTGTATATATATATATAACATGTCTATCCTATTATAATAATGATGCGTGTGTTGGGTTACATGTACGGGATAGGCGAGCTGAAATCGCGGTTGCCGCCGACACAAGTGTTGATTAATTATGAACGTCATAAACGAGCATCATATTATTCGTTTCTCCTATTTATTTTGTACACGACAAACGGCGTTCGGTGCATGTCTAGATGAAAAACGATAAAGCATAATATAATATATTAAGGTGTACAATAAAGTATAATAATATGAGCTGCTGGCTTGGCGTACATCGTTATATAGGCCGAACACACACACCGAAGCAGATCGTATAAACGATAAAACGTGTTATGCAAATATTATATCTTCTTTTATTATATTTTTTTTTTGCCGCGTGCACTCTTTCTTCGTGTCACATTATAAATAGGTATACATTATATGTACGTCGCTCACATCATATTACCATTATTATCGCCAACCGAACGATATTGGTCATTCGACTGCATAACTATGTCGTTACACGGTACGCGATACATACACAAGTCGTATCGGTTACGACACTGTGTACAACAATATTGTATTTATGTGAATCGTGTACTGGAAATTCGATCTAGCTAAATCTTGAGAGAGAAAAAAACGTTTTCGCTAACGCCTAATTGCCAGTCTATAACGTTTTCCGGGTTTCTACCGGACCACAGATAAAGAACACACCGACCAACCAATTAGTAAAACCGCAGTTGGCGCCGTAGTCGCCAATTGTTATGTCTTCTTATCTAGTCAATTTTCAGTGATAAAAAAAAATAATGATGATTTTTACTACGTGTGTCTCTGCCACCTTACAGAAAAAAAAATCCCCGATTCAGTGGTTTGACTTCTTTTCGATGGTCGGTAATCTGGTGGGACAGTTAGGTTCTGTCCAAAACTTATTCCCACCTAAATAAGTACAACATAATTAAAAATGTCCACTGCATTCGTCTCTTCCACAAAGGCGTGCATAAGACGTGAATGCCGCACCTAAACCCGTTTATTTTACATCTGGTTGGGTTAGGTTCGAGTGCAGCTCCTACGCCGTTTGCTATCTCAGTACGTCTGTATTCTGCTATTTATAAACGAAACCACACATTAAATAAAATTTAAAATGTTCGATAACTTTATTTCAATAATTTGAATTATTACTTTACATGTCTCGAAATAGACTGTTGCAATATTTTAAC